GCCCGGGGCGTGCGTGCGTGCGTGCGTGGCGTCCGTCAACAGTTGGGCCACCAGATCGTCAACGGCGGGCTCGCAAGCGAACGGCAATTTCGAAAGTCGCGGACTTTGCGGGGGTAATTACTTAAAAGGCAGTTGGGTGATGTCGAAGCTGGGCGGCCGGAGGTCCACAGAAGGATCAAAGGTCAGAGGTGGTTAAAAGAAAGGTGGAACATTCCCGTTCCTTAAACTTAAGGTGATAAGGGAGGAAATGACAGGAAATTGCCGGCACCACGAATCGTAAACTGCCTCGGACGCTAAGGTCCGTCAGAATTGAGTCGGGTATGTTACAGCGGCATATTGCGCTGAAAAGGCGATCACTGTGCCGAGAAACTTTGGACGGTCACAGGCTCAAGAGGTCAATGGGCACAGTAGCCAGAATTTTAAGACCATTCTTCGTGAGGAGGACCATGGGTCTTGATGGATTTCTGCTTTTGCGGCAGCGATTGAAACTTTTGTTGTTTCAGCGGGTTGACCCCTAGCATTTTTATGGCTTTATCTGAACAGCGAGCCATGAAATGTAACTTTCTGACTGACTATGCCCGAAGAGTCTACAGTGATCGGAGTAAGCTTTTGACCCTGGCAAGAGGGGGTTTACATGGACTTTCTTTGACTGCTCTAGGAAAGAAGTTTGCCTGCGCGGGTTTGCTAGTAGAATCTATACATGACGCCTGGGATGTACTGACGGCCTACAAGTAGGCGTGGCGCAGTAACCCGAAGTGGATGATCGTCACACGGCCCCCGACCCGCCCGGGCTGGCGGTGGTCCATGACAACGAGGCTGCTGGTGCTACACAATCATATGCTTCTGGCGGTACCTATTACACTGCGTGTCGTGTTTTGTACCCCGATTGTAACCATCATTCTGGAGAGTCATGTATTGCAGTATTTTATAGAATTTGCCAAAGAAAGACAGGCGGATGGAAGTTGAAAAAAAGCATCGGTCGGGCAAAAAAAAAAGATTTAACAAAAAAAAAATAACACAAAAAAAATTTCTTTTTCTAATTTTGTTTATTTTATGTTCATTTACATAGTTGTAAGATCGACTTTAGCTTACCGGATGCGTTTCCCCGCTCGTGCGTGGCAGGCACACACTTCGTAGTTTTAGCGTACGCACAACATTGTTCACCGCTATGGTACCGAGCGTATGGCAGCAGTGGCCTTGTGTAGGAAACAGGCGCCGTACGTTGTCTGTGCAACGTGATCGGTCCACTTCGGTAACTCTATGTGCAACTAGTGGAATTTCAAAAGGCTAAATTTGGTTGAAGTGGTTTATGGCTCCTTAACATTCGTATTAATTTCCCTGATGGCATTCTCGGGACGCACGCACGCACGCTCATGCGATTCTACAAGCTGCATCTGACTATGTCAGATGAGCTAATAATGCATGAGGTCAGAGGTAGTAGCCTAATGCATTGACATGTATCGGATTCGGAGTAACCCAGCTTATTTAGTCAGCTATATTATAACATGACTGTTACTGTTTAGTGTTAGTGTTAGTGTTATGTTACCCAGCAGCATAGGCATTTGGAACATCTCAATTAAAAAAAAAAGGTAAATAAACACAAAATGTAACTCTCTTATTCATGTTGTTTGTGCACAGGGCAGGCGTGCGGTGTACTTGTGTGTTGCAGATGAGCATTTGCACGACATTTACGGGTAATTATCGGCAATAATAGGCGAAATAGAGTAGAGAAACATTAAAACTTTGGTAGTAAATACATTTCGTGTTTACATTTTTTTCATTTATTGAGACGTTCCAAGTGCCTGTGGCAGTGCCCAGCAGGGCCAGCTCAACACTAACAGTAGACTAACTGACTAAGCAGTGAGTAAGCACTAACAGTAAGAGTACTCAGTAGTGAGTAGGGCTGAAGGGGTCGTTGTCGTATCAGGTACTACAGATATGTACCCGAGGTACATATATGTATACACAAAGTGTACCAGACTTGTACTACAGAAAACAGGCACTTGAAACGTTTCAATAAAATATATACGCAGGGGTCGTGTGCTGTGCACGGCGACAGTTAAATATATAGCTAGGCCTATATATTTAACTGTCGCCATGCACAGCACACGACCCCTGCGTATATATTTTATTGAAACGCTTCAAGTGCCTGCATGTGCTACAGAAGTGTACCCTAACCCTAACCCTAGCCCTAACCCTAACCCTAAACATACCTCATATAAAAATATAAACATAATAGGCCCTACTAAACAACCTAAAATTACCTCGGGTGGGCCCATATCTCAGATGGGGTCGTTGTCTCAGATGGCCCATATCTCAGATGGCCATATCTCAGATGGCCCATATCTCATACGCAGATGGGGTCGTTGTCGTATCAGGTCTACACTACAGATATTATCTGTAGTGTAGACCTGATACGACAACGACCCCATCTGCGTCAGTAGGGCCTAACCACAGGCACTTGAAGCGTTTCAACTGTAAACACACGCCGCCGCCATTGCGCGCACACTGACACATATATAGGGCGTTCGATTTGCTTCCCCAAGTTAACCTGGGTCTACTCGGGCCAGCCCCAAATACGTTCGATTTGCTTCCCCAAGTTAACCTGGGTCTACTCGGGCCAGCCCCAAATACGTTCGATTTGGCAGTCACGTGGTATTTTTTCGTTACCCGGGTCAACCCGGGTGAGAATGAAGTGAGCGGCTCGCCGAGGTGCTCACTTGGGGGGGGGAAGTATCCCACAATCCATTGCAACGACACCATGCATGGCGACGATATCAGTGCGGGATCAGTGCTGCATGAATGTAGCAGTGTGAATGACTGCGTGTGTTTGCTCAAGGACGGTGAGTGCATAGGATGATGTTTATTACTGGAAATGCTCTCTATCCTTCAGCCGCTCATTCTTAGATTTCATTAATAATAAGATTGCAATTGCTATTCTTTTTTTCTTGTCACTGGCATCCATGATAATTAACCCGGGTTAACCCAAAAACCGTTCGTTTATCTTCCCTAACCCAGATGCGTTCGATTTCGTACCCAGGTTAACCCAGGTGGCTCTGGGGAATCAAATCGAACGCACTAATAAATATATAGCAGGTGAGAAAGCGCGATCCCAAAAATAAATAAATATTTATGTGTGACTCAGTGTGCGCGCAATGGCAATTTTAATGCTCTATAATTGAGCTTTTCGAGCTTTTTCTCATTTGCTTTGTCACAGAAGTGCCATATAATAGGACAAAAGTTAAGGTGATTACGTCACCGTAAATAGTAGAAAAAAATATTTTTAAAAATTCCCACTTTTTCACAAAATATAAGTAATTCTGTTCACTTTTTATGGTTAAATTGCTGCATTATACTTCTTATTTTACTATATTGTTTGATGTGAACATACACTCGTGACTCATACGTAGCCCATAGCAAGCAATAAATGTTAGGAACACTAATATCAAATCGTCCAGGTTTTTTGGATTTTTAACTAGTTGAGAAACAATCTTATCAGGTAACAATTTGACGATACGTTTAGTACCGTTAGTTCTTACTTTTAATGTAAAAAAATGGCAACAAAAATTTTACAAATTTTACCATAGAACATGACGAATATATTATTTTCCTGCAACTAACAGGCAGATGCCGTCCGATACGTTTCAGTGCATTGATTTGCCTGGCCACCTTTTTACAAAGCTTTGAAATGTGCCCACCAAAGTTGAGTTTAAAGTCAATGGTGTCAATGGTCACACCCAGCAATTTTACTTCATCAGTGCATTTAATATCCGTTCCCCCGACAGTGAAGTGGGGGCATCGATCATAGGTTTTCTTCCCAATCGCAATGCCCTGAAACTTGGCAGGGTTTGCCTGCATTTGATTTTTGGAAAACCAATCGATCATCACCGCCGCCTCAGTCTCAAGGGTCTGTTTCATATCTAGGAAATCTTCACTAGACTCTAGAGTGGGAGATGGTATTGTCATCTGCGTATAGTTACATAAACTGGCATCATTCATAAAATAAAATATATCATTTATAAATATGTTAAATATCAGTGGACCTAGTATGGATCCCTGCGGTATTCCTTTTTGTAGGTAGGCCCTATAGGAAGTCACTGTAACGATTACCCATGCGTACACATTGTTTGCAATCTGTCAAATAGTTTTGTATAAGATTTACAGCACTGTTGTCCACATTATATGCTTTTAGCTTCTCCAAAATCAGTGCGTGAGGCAAGCAGTCATAATTAAGCCTTAGACAGATCCATCAAGATAGCACCAACAAAATGGCACCAATGGTAACCAAACCAATTTCAAGTGCCTGCTGTCTGTGTTGACTGTTATATCAATCATTAAATGTATATGACTATGACTATGAGTATGAGCCTATGACTATGTATAATGTAACAAGTGCCGCGGAGCGACAGCGCTCATCTAACGTCTACTGCGGTGACTCTGTGGTGGAGTGGTGGGATTCTAGTAAACCCTGTTAGTCCCAAATGTGTTCACATACACGCCGAAACAGTGGAGGGCACAGGGATGATATCAGGAACCTTCTCAAAGGAATGTTTGTTGGGATCGTTATGAAAGTTGCCACGAGATGGCGCGTACGTTTAAGTGTCTTCAGATTAAAGATGGAAGCTCCCATCGTACGTAGTAGTTACAACTATTTGCAAGACAGAATAGGTAAGCACCCATCCATTTACCTACGCAAGCCTACGTCGAGCAGTTTAGAGTTTGTGCGGCCGCAATTCTGCATTTCCTCCTATACCTTAAGTAAGGGAGTTAATGTTCCCCTTTCTTTTACACCTCTTGACTTTTGACCTTTGACCCCCAGCTTCGACATCCCAACTCCTTTTGTATTACCCCCCAAGTCCCGACTTTCCGAATCCGTACGTCGAGCCGTTTAGATTTGTGCCCAACTGTTTGACGGCACGCACGCACGCACGCTCATGCGATATCTACAAGCTGCATCTGGACTATGTAGATGAGCTAATAATGCATGAGGTCAAGAGGTAGTAGGCCTAATGCAATTGACATTGTATCGGATTCGGAGTAAACCAGCTTATTTAGGGTCAGCTATTTATAACATGACTGTTACTGTCTTTTAGTGTTAGGTGTTAGTGTTTATGTTACCACGCAGCATAGGCACTTGGAACATCTCAATTAAAAAAAAAAGGTAAAATAAACACGAAAATGTAACTTTCTCTATTCATGTTGTTTGTGCACAGGGCAGGCCGTCCGGCGTACTTGTGTGTTGCAGATGAGCATGTTGCACGACATTTACGGGTAATTATCGGCAATAATAGGCGAATAGAGTAGAGAAACATTAAAACTTGGTAGTAATAAATACATTTCGATGTTTACATTTTCCATTTATTGAGGACGTTCCAAGTGCCTGTGGCATGGCCCAGCAGGGCCAGCTCAACACTAACAGTAGACTAACTGACTAAGCAGTGAGTAAGCATCAACAGTAAGAGTACTCAGGTAGTGAGTAGGGCTGAAGGGGTCGTTGTCGTATCAGGGTACTACAGATATGTACCCGAGGTACATATATGTTATACACAAGTGTACCAGGACTTGTACTACGAACACAGGCACTTGAAACGTTTCAATAAATAATACGCAGGGGTCGGGTGCTGTGCACCCGGTGACAGTTAAAGTATATAGCTAGGCCTCTATATATTTAACTGTCGCGATGCACAGGCACCGCGACCACTGCGTATATATTTTATTTGAAACGCTTCAACAGTGCCTGGCATGTGCTACAGAAGTGCTAACCCTAACAACCTAAACCCTAGCCCTAACCCTACCTCTAAAACTACCATCATATTAAAAATTTAAAACATCAATTTAGTGCCCTATAAACAACCTAAACTACCTCGGTGGGCCATATCTCAGATGGGGTTGCGTTGCTCTCAGGTATGCCATACTCAAGATGGCCATATCATCAGAGAGGCCATATCTCTACGCAGGATGGTCGTTGGTCGTTATCAGGTCTAGCACTACAGTATTAACTCTGTAGTGTAAACCTGATACGAACACGACCCATCTGCGTGTGCAGTAGGCCCTAACCACAGGCGCACTTGAAGCGTTTCAACTGTAAACACACGCCGCCGCCATTGCTGCGCCACACTGACACATTATATAGGTGCTTTTTGTTTTCATTTTTGGGTCGATTGGTCTCATAGTAACCGTGGGTCTTACGTCGGCGCAGCCCCAATCAGGGGTGTATCCAGGATTTTTTTCTGGTGGGTTCAGTATCATAATTTGTTGGACCTTTTCGACAATTATAATAGCAGCCAAGTCATGTGTGATTACAATGTCATACAATCAGGGGGCGTGTACCAGGATTGTACCAGGGGGGTCTTAACCGTAACGAAAACTTGGTCGAGCACGCGAAGGGGGGATCTGGCGGGTATCGTGGGCCCTCCCCAAAATTTTGAAATTTTAGACCTCCTTACATGCTGTTTCTGCGCGAGCGGGGGTCCGGACCCCTGGGACCCCCCTGTTACACGCCCCTGACAAATTTAATTAAAACAAAAAAAAATTGTTTCCAAAAAAAAATTCTTCAGATTTAAAAAAAGAGTTTTCTGACTTCAGTGAAAACACAGTTTTTTGAACTTTTTGTCTTTATCTTGTCTTGTCTTGTCTTTGTCAGCTTGTCTCTCTTTTATAATACAATTTTGTTTAAAAAAAAGCTTTCTCAGTTTCAGAATTGTGGAATTGGGATAGATCTTACGTCACGCAATGGCAATGTCTTTTGGACTCATGCTGTACCTGATCTTTTTCATTGATATTCATTGTAAAAAGGGCCGTCGAAAATAAAAAGGTCTGTAAAAAAATGTGGACCTTGTTAAATTTTGGGGGGGGCTCGTGACGAGCCCTCACGACCCCCCCTGCATACACCCATGCCCAAATACGTTCGATTTAGGGCAGTCACGTGGTTTTTTTCAGTTACCCGGGTCACACCCGGGTGAGAACGAAACGTGAGCTGGGCTCGCTCGAGGTGCTCACTTGGGGTGGGGGGAAGTATCGAGCAAAGTCCATTTGCAACGACACCTGCATGGGCGACGATATCAGTGCGGGCATCAGTGCTGGCCAATGAATGTAGCAGTGTGAGATGACTGCGTGTGTTTTGCTCAAGATGTGTGAGTGGATAGGATGATCGCTATGCCGGTCGGAACGCAGGGCGTTTATTACTGGAAATGCTCTCTTTATCCTTTCAAGCCACTCATTTCTTTTAGATTTTCATTTATTAATCAAAGATTGCAATTTGCTATTCTTTTTTTTCTTGTCACATGGGCATCCATGTAATTTAACCCGGTGTTAACCAAAAACCGTCGGTTTATCTTCCGCTAACCAGATGCCGTTTCGGAATTTTCGTTTACCCAGGTATAACCAGGTGGGTCTTGGGGGAAGCAAATTGGATACGCACTAATAGGTGCGTTCAATTTTGCTATCCCCAAGTTAACCTGAGGTCTACTCGGGGCCAGCCCCAAATACGTTTTCGATTTGGCAGTCCCACGTGTACTTTTTTCGTTACCCGGGTCAACTCGGAGTGAGGGACGACTGGTGAAGCGGGGGCTCGCGATGCTCACTGAGAGGGGCCTGGGGAAAGTATCCCAC